ATAAGATAAAGAAAAGAATAAATTAGATAAAGAATTTTGAATCTACCTTTTTTTTAGTATAGATAGACTTTACGTACAAATTTTTATTTCACCGATTTTATGAGATTTGTTTTGACAAAATCAAAGACGAACACTGAAAAATGTTCTATTAACATTTACAATGTGTATTTAATGTTTTTATTTTGGCAAATTATTCTTTTTAAGTGTGATATATAAATATAAAAAAATACTTAAAATATTTTATAACATCTATAAAAAGCATCTAGAATATTTTATATTATTCACAAATAATGTTTGAAGTTACCTAAATTTTTCTAAACTACCCGTAAGGAAAATATGTCTAAAAATTCTTCATTTGACCTCCATATATGTATATATATAGAGAGAGCAAATGTGTAAAAAAAAATTATAGAAATAATATTTAAAAGTATCTAAAATATGAGTAATTAGACAGGTGAAATTTAGATTTTTAAAAAATCTATATAGATAATGGATTTATAGTAGTAATTAGACTTTTATTTATTTACCTTTACAGTTGTTACGATAGATGAGGGATGTGATTTTTTTGACTCGTGGAGATGGAATTTTATAGGATGGGTTATGAAATTTTCTTAAACACGTCCATATCTATGTGATGAGTTTTTTAAGCTGGTTATATAGATTTAAAATTGTAAAAAAAAAAACTTTCATAAATCATTTGATTTGGTATTTTCGGCGAGCTTCATTAATTTAAAAGTGTAAAATAAATAAATAAAAAAAGTACAACTAAAAAATTACGGCCAGTTGTATGGAGAATTAAACTAAATTCAATTTTGTAGGATGCATTAAAATTTGATTAGATTTTTTATATAAAATAAAATAAAAAATAACTGAAATAGTTTTACGTGTTGCAATATTTCATATTTAAAAAAAAATTAAAAAATCTTCTTTTACGTATTACATACCAATATTTTATGAACTACATGGATATTCCTAAATTAATATTGCATACCCAATATTTTAGGAACTAATTCAATATTAATTTGATTTGCATAACAAAATATTAGATGCATTAATTAAATACTTGATAAAAATAGCAAATCATTAATTATTGTTGACTATTCTACCTATTGAAATTAGTAAATAGGTTTGCTTATAATATAAGTATAGATAGGAAATTATGGAGAGATTTGTTAACAAACAAATTCCTACAAAATCGTATCAATTTGTTAAGGAATATCGATCAATTTTGTGCTGATATAATGTTGCAAAAAAAAGGAGTTTGTTATTATTGAATTTGGTAAGTAATTTACAATTACCATCATAATAATTCTAGAAATTATGTACGGATTTGTCAACAAATAGTTTCCTACAAATTTGTATTATGTTAAGGAATGTGGATCAATTATCTTTGAAAGTTTGTTTCAATTATGATGGAAGGATGGAATCAAATAGTTACATGATCCCACAAAATTCGATAAAATTGTGTAACAAAATTCAAATGCAACGATGGTTGGATCAATTAATTACGATGATTTTATATTATTAATTAATTAATCATTAATTTTATATTAATTAATTTAACATGTGGGACCTACATGGTTATTATTTAATATAGTAATTATTACTTAAAGTAGTAAGTCAATACTTTATTTTTTAAGTCAAACATACTATTTTTGTATTTTTCCAACAACCTCTTTATATTACTATAGATTTGAATTATGGTTATGTATTTTTTTATTTTTATATTATTATCTTTTCTACGTATTTTTCTCCGTGCAAATGCACAAGGTTGATCACAAGTATATATAATTGCTGACATGCAGCATTTAATAACATCTATTTAATAAAACCTCTAAAATTTTCCCTCCATTTTCGGTTACAAATTGTCATTAATATTTTTTTTACTTCTCACATTAATACATCTTATTGAGTGTAATCATGTATGTTTCTATTATATTAGATAACAGTTATTGCTAATATCAACTAATAATAAATAATTCACAATAAATATAAATTACATAATTATAAACAATTCTTTCAAGTTATTTATTTTAACATCAATATTATCTTTTTCTTTTGTATCTCATGAAAAAATTTCTTAAAAAACAATTAGTAAATTGTTTTAATAATATAGTCAAACAACTTTAGAAGCTTATAAACAATTGTTTTTTAATAATAATAATATTAATAATAATAATCAAACTGTAATTATCTAATGATAAAAAACAATTGATCACAATAATAAAATCGTTAATTTATTTTTCCTAATGATCAAATTTTTGAAAATGTAATAGATTCATTATCTAGAATTTTAGTATTAGATTCTTAAATATTAATAATATTTTATGTAAATGGGTGAGTACACAGGATATCTAGTTCTCAATTAATATGTATCTAGAATTTTAGTATTAGATTCTTAAATATTAATAATATTTTATGTAAATGGGTGAGTACACAGGATATCTAGTTCTCAATTAATATGTATGTAGGTAGGGGGATCTGAATCTTTCTTCTATGAGTCTCCCTGTCTACGTGCGACTGCCATGTGTTGACTCCAATCTCCCACCATTGTCAGCCTCCGCCGCCCACGCACCTCCTCACGACCTTTTCTCAATTCCCCAATTTCTTGGGAGTCGCATTTTGTTCTTCATCTGTCAAACCCATCACCACCAATAAACCCCAACAGTGCTAATCGAATCAACAGAAATCCATTTTCTCTTCTGAGAATTCCCCTCAACCTCACAGGGAGATACAGAATTGCTAAATTACCATGCCGTGGTTCAGAAGTTTCATCCAGCTCTCCACCGCCTTCACCAGACAACGGTCTCTGCAGCCGCGCAGATCGGCGGCTGTATTCGGTCCGCCGCCGTCGATCGTTCAATTGCTGCAGCATTTCAGCGTCGCCGCTCAGAGCAACCGGGAGCCGGGATTGGGGTCCACGAAGGGCGATGAGAAGCCCAGAGTGGTGGTTCTGGGCTCGGGCTGGGCCGGCTGCAGGCTCATCAAGGACATCGACACGAAGACCTATGATATCGTGTGTGTATCCCCCAGGAATCACATGGTTTTCACGCCCCTGCTCGCTTCCACGTGCGTCGGGACCCTGGAGTTCCGGTCGGTGGCCGAGCCGATCGGCAGGATCCAGCCTGCAATCTCTCGTGAACCCGGTTCTTACTTCTTCCTCGCCAACTGTACCGGTGTTGACTTCCAGAGTCACCAGGTATTCCAATTTCGTGACTTCATTTTAGTAAAGGAGTAAGCTTTTGTTCTGCATTCCAAGTTTTATGTGCCGCCTTTTTTCGCTAGCAATGTGTATATATTACCTCATACCAGTCTTTGCATTGTTTATAGATTATTATTTGAAGTTTGCTAACATAGAGCTTGATAACGAAACGTAGAAAGGAACTATAAACAGTCCAATACGGGAAAAGTCTAATAAGATAGCTATCAAGTAGATATGTTATGAACAATAAGCTAATGAAAGTTCTATATTCCATTGCACTCGAGAACTAGGTTGATCTTTTAATTTATACTGCGGTATGTCAGTGGGTATGCTCTGGTACGGTGAAAATTTTGAGCAAAGGATGTATAGCAAGCAACTTTCAAGAAAAATGATACAAAGAACTACACACATACACAAAAAACATACAGGGAGCCGCCTATTCTGTATTTCCCTCATTTACGTTATATGGTAAATGTCTTGACTTGCTTATATATATTGGAGTTGTGATACTCTTGTAGAACAATCAGTGGAAAACAAAAATTTGCTAAATGGAAATAACATGTGGGCATTGGGAAATATTTGTCGGAAGAAGTGTTCTAACTGTAAGTCTAATCTATATGCTCTTTGTGCTGCCAAAATACTTAGAGAATTTTGTTTGGAAATGATATGAGTTGAGTTGGTGATACAATGAGTTAGCGTTTATTCTATATTTTGTTGTTCTTAATTACTTGCAATGCACATTTGTAGTTTCTGTCTTTCCATGTGATGCTTGTGTGATTTTTGAAGTTTGAGGACACGTGTACTTACTGAAGTATCTTCCTGGTTGGTACCATCATCTGCTTGCAACAGATGCTGGATTTAAGTTTCCTACCTTTAGATAGTACTAGCGTCTCATGTGATAATTTTGTGGATTGTGGAACAAGTGCAGTTTTATAGAAGGTAATTTCCGCTGAAAGTGGCAGAATATTATCTTTATTCGGGATGCTATTATTCTGGATGTTGAGCCTAGATGATCTGAGGTTGATAAAATACTATGAGCCTGTTGATTTGAATCCATTCTCAATCACATTTATAACTGTGTACTATATAGTAAATATAAACTCGTTCAGTAATATCCAAATTTTCTTGCCAGATTCACTGTGAAACTGTAACTGAAGGAGTTGACACCCTAGATCCATGGAACTTCAAAATCGCATATGACAAGTTAGTAATTGCTTCTGGAGCTGAGGCTTCTACATTTGGTATTAAGGGCGCAAAAGAACACGCTGTCTTTCTTCGTGAAGTTCATCATGCTCAGGAAATCAGGAGGAAACTGCTGTTAAATCTGATGCTCTCGGATGTGCCCGGTATGACTCTCTCTCTCTTTTGCAAAGACACACACACAGAGAAAAACAAAGGAAGAATATTGAAAGATAAAAAGAAACAAAAAACGAAAAACTAGCTAAAATATAGTCCTTAAGGGGTTATTTATAATACTTTGTGTAGCTAATTTTAAATTTGAATCATTGTTATTGGTGTATTCTTTTTAAACGTTAAACGTCAAGGTTAGTTTTGTAATACTCTGTTAAATCTTGTGCAAGTATTTATGTTTTATATCATTGTTGAGTATTGTTTTTAAAATAGGAGTTAGTGAAGAAGAAAAGCGTAGGCTCCTTCACTGTGTTGTTGTTGGAGGCGGTCCCACAGGAGTTGAGTTCAGTGGCGAACTAAGTGACTTCATACGGAAGGACGTTCATCAAAGATATGCACATGTGAAAGATTACATTCATGTCACGTTGGTTGAGGTTAGACTTTCAAGATTTCTGCGAGAACATGTTGTCGATTGAAGGGAATAAAGTCAAAACCCCATAGTGGGAGCCGAAGGTATAATCATTTCATTAATTATTTTTTTGATCGGTATCCTACATTTTCTTACCTTGCAGGCAAATGAAATACTGTCATCCTTCGATGATCGACTCAGGAAGTATGCAATTAAGCAACTGACAAAGGTGAGTAATTACTCGGAGAAACTATTTTTGCATTTTACTTAGATTTTTTTTTATTTATTTATAATAGAAAAGGTTTTTTTTTAAGTCGTAATCCAAGTTGTAAAATATGTCTAATTATTTGATACTCCTGTAACAATTTTTTTTGGCTTATGTAATATTCATCTTTTATTTATTTTAATTTATTTTGTTTTAATATATCTGTAATTATTTGATATTGATACATCAGTTTCTCAGTCAGGAGTCCGTCTTGTCCGAGGGATTGTGAAGGATGTTCAATCTGATAAGATAATCCTTAGTGATGATACAGATATTCCGTATGGTGTCCTGGTGTGGTCTACAGGTGTTGGTCCTTCTCCATTTGTGAGTTCACTCGTTGTTCCTAAAGCACCTGGTGGAAGGTATTAAACATTTTGCCCCTTGGGTAGCTTTCTTCCTTACCGCCTTTTAAATTATGTACACACCATTTTGGAAATGTAAGTCTATTTTTGTTGGAAAACGTCCGCATTTCATAAGCCATAATGGTTATATATTTGTGGTTATTGTTGTACCTGAGATAGTTACAAAACCACCCTGGTGTTTGATTCTATCACAAGAAGGTCCACAGATCTTTTCAAGTTTCTAATATATACTTGAGGTTCACGTTGCAAATAATCTTCTCTAGAAGTTACTGCGTATTTACTCATGACATGAAAAATGACTATGTATTAATACTTATTAGTAAATCAAAAGATGACAATTCATGTGTCTGTAATTAGGATAAACCTTAGGGGTGATTTTGCAGATCGTTGTATATGGACGGGGGATTACAGTCTTTGTATATTGACGGGGAATTGGGTCTATTGAACTCGGGGAACTGCAAATAATTCTAAACTAGTAGTGGTACAACACCACATAGGTGTTTCTTAAAAAATTTATTACTTAAAAAGTTTAAAATAAACAGAAGTTTTTATTTAAATTTTTAAATACTTTTTAAACATTTTTTTTATTTCAAACGACACTATGATTTGCTTATCGTATTAATATTTTTCTAACTCATATCATATAATAGACTTGATAGTTAGACTTAATTAATAATTTTTATTTTTATTATTTTCCAATTAGAATATATTTTATAATTTAATTTTTATTTATAAAGGTAGATTTATATATATATATATATATATATATATATATATATATATATATATA